TTTTGTTTTTTGTTTTTTGTTTTTTGTTTTTTGTTTTTTGTTTTTTGTTTTTTGTTTTTTGTTTTTTGTTTTTTGGTGCAAGTTTGACAAAAAATTGACTGTAATCCCCCCACGGGGTAAAAATATCGGTTATGCTCGTCAAAACGTTCCGAAAATACCCCTAAAAATACCGCAAGTGTTTTAAAAAGTGTGTTGCTGGATGACTTTTAATACCCAAGAGATACTCTAAAAGATACCAAGTAATGCCGAAATTCTAAACTTCAATTTTAACGCCCTAAAAGATACCATATCGCCGATTTTCACCCCTAAGAGATACAAACGATACTCATTACCACGTCTCAAGTCTCTGGTTCCAAAGACATAACAAATTTTGCTGTAAAATTTCTTTTGCAAGATGCTTCCAGTGAAAGGTCAGATTTAAGATTTGACTTCAACGTAAAAGAAAAAATGCAGGAAAAATTACAAGGAGACACCACTTCCGTCGACAAAATCCTRCAAGACTTGGTTGGAAATAAAACACCTAAAGAAACATCATGGATGGCTCCTTTGGCCTACACCGAACTGGTCTTCCAATTCAGACGATTAAATCTCCAAGGAATAAAAAACACATGGACCAAGTTTGCTGACTGTTCTAGGATGGACTTATGTCCCACAAAACAATTATTTTTAAACTACAGGTAAAAACTCTCATTATATAACAACAACAACAACAACAGCAGCAGCAGCAGCAGCAACAACAACAAAAGCTATAGGTATACAAAAAAGCACGAGAAGAAAGTCTTGTGGACTTACTAGCCTGATTTACCTAGGTAAAGACTCCCCCCAGAGCATTCAATCAGCTGAATGAAGCTCATGAATCTCATTACCAGCCTACAATCACAAGCAAACACTAACCGTCCACAGGCAGCCCAAACAAGGTTCCTGTGTACCGTCATGTATATATTATCGACCAGAGAGCATTACATTGATTGGTATCAATCAGCTGAATGAATCTCATGAATTTCATTACCAGCCTACAATGACAGGCAAACACTGCCCGTCATCATAGGAGAACACTATTCTATCATTTTTTTCACAGACAGTTGATCGTCGACGCCTTGATACAGTGTGGCACAGAATCTTGTGCGGAATTCATGATTCAACATATTCGCGAGACTCCCGAGTGGGCTTATGTCTTTGAACGAGGGAGCGAAACGTACAGGAAGCAGTTATTATCAGGGCTTTCGTGGGTCCGAAATCCAACGGAGAAAATCCTTGATAACGTTTGGGTAATAATCATATTACAACTAAGTTTCCTTGCTACCTATTTTTGGATTTTCGTTTTCGTAAGTCATTGCGGTCATTATAGAGTTTTTGCAGAAAAAGACACCTTGTACCTCAATCTGGGAGACAAAACAATAGGTTCCAATTCTCAGGAGATTGGAATTATTTTTTCTCCCCCAAATCGAGCTGCTTTGACATGCAAGGGGTCTATAGACCCATTCAGCTTTGGTTTAATGCTTTCCCATTTCTGACCACGTGTCATTCTCTTTAGAATAAGGTTTTTTGTTTGAGTTGTATCCATTCTCGTGTGCAACCAAGAAACAAAAAAGTGGTACTCTTAGGAATTACCCGTGGTCTGAAATGGAAACTGAATGGGTCTATTTCCACATTCTTAAAATTGGAATGCATGGGGAACGTGCTCCAAGAGATCGATTAAGATATAGGATATAATATTAAGATATTTTTCTAATCCGTCTCTTTCCCTTACCTTTGGTTGTCTATGACCCCATAATGAAGAAAATTCCCTGGTCGTTTTCAAATCAAAACGTTGGCCCATAATGTTACTTTGATCGTCATATAGTTCCACAAAAATTTATTGATCAAAAATAACTCAACACGACATTTAAAAGTTACTCACTCTTTTTTGCAGACCTTGATGAAAGAAAAGAAGGACATTCTACCCGAGAACACCATAACAATTATGGGTTCAATGATGCGTACTCACTGTGAAGTTTACCCAAAGAACTGCAAGGACGATGTAAGTGAACTGAAAAACATACAAGTTTAAATGACTTTAGTTTTATAGGCATTCATCTATTTCAAAAAAGGTTGAATACTGAATACTGCAAACTGAATAATGCATTCCAAGACCAAAGCTCATTGTGGGTCGTAGTGACATTGTCTAAAGTGGGATTAATAATTATTATTTATTCTATTTTTAGTGTATTCCATCTGAAACAATATACTGAMTACATGTAGAGAGTTAATTGCTGTATATTTACAATACCCTCCAGTCTTGGAATGCACTATTCAGTATTCAACTTTTTTGAAATAGCTGTATTAGTAAAGATCCAAAATTCGAATATCTTCTTACTCAATCCAACCTTCTTTGTTTGCCTTCCTCCCTTTTCTCCTTTGTTCCTACTTCCTCTTCCTTTCCCCTTCTCTCCCTGTGCTCTCCTTCGTAATTTCTTTCTCTCTTTTCTATACTCTCATCTTCTATCCTTCCTTCTTCCTTCCTGAGTCCCCACCACAAATTTGCCTTTGATTAATTTATTATCATTTCTTATGCAGCTTTCCGGCCTTGACCACTTCCCTAAAGTACTCGAAATATCAAGATCTTTCAGCAGCATGTTGTATATGAACTTAGAACTTTGCAAAGCTACCCCAGAGACTGTTGATGAAATTATTTTCATTTTACGGGCTATCGGTAACTCGCGTTTTGTGGAAACTTCTCCAGTCGACCTCGTCTATTGCGCCCTCAAATCAAACTATAAGAACATCTCTGCCGCTGCTTTGGAAGTACTTGGAGACTTGAAACTGGACTACCAAACAAGGAAGGGACTAAAGACAATTTACAAAGACTACGCGCAAGACCCTGAAATACGAATGATGGCTTATCTTGCCTGGATGAAGGAACCTACCAAAGAGGACATCAAGACTGTAATGAAGACACTCCAGGAAGAAATAAATACACAAGTTGGGTCGCTAGTATGGAGCCACCTTACTAGTATGAACACATCTGTGGAACCAACAAGCGGACATAGGTAAATTTTATAAATACTTGAGTCGTTAACCAAGTTGGCTATTCGTTCATGCAAGTTCACAAGAATAATTCATAAAAGACCCAGTAGGTGTAGGTGTAAGTGTAGGTATTAGCCCCAGGGCGTAGTAGGGAGTAGGCTACCGAAGGGAATTTGACATCGAGGACTGCAACCCTCTGTTCCAAAGGGTATGGAATTTGATAACGAAGAAGGAGGTCTGCTCTCCCGGAACATAAATGGAGTTCAACATTCTTTATTTCTTCAAACTTCATAATCGGAATGTGGCTACAGCTTACCATTAGTAACCACGCATCCAGAATTCAGGTTAACACATCCAAGTATATTATATCCTTTCTTTTATCACTTGGATAAGCACTGTGCATCATATAGATGCATACGACCTACTTTGAGGGGACGATTTAATGTATACATTAATGTCGCGAATTGTTAATTATAGCATTGGAACTATGATTGAAGAAGTCTTGAGAGAAACCCAAACGTCGCTCAGATATTTCAACACGACATCAAAGTCAACTGTGTGGCACAAATCGATCTTCAATGGTAAGTGCGAGAAAACATAAATTATAGCAGTTATTGTAACATCAGTGGCGCAGCCCAGAGTCTCGGGATTAGGGAGGAGGCAGGGAGCAAAGGTGTCTTGTTTCCGCCAGATCCATGTACAGGAAAAATATATCTTACGACTATCATTCCCCGAAAGGAGCTATTTCGTGAGGCTCGCTCCACACTTACTAGCACTACATTTACTGCTTACAACACAAAACATTGAACTCACATGTTAATCTCTGTACGTATGCGGAATGACGATATCCGGAGAACTCAGAAAAACCTCGTGGCAAGGCAGAGAATATTACATTTAACAAACTCAAGTTACATATGCGGTTCAGTCGATCTAGATTTGAACGCGCGACCACAGACTTGATCTACAATGACACCCATGTCACGCTGCATAAGACATGGAGAGAGCAATTTATTTCAAGGAATGCAAATCGTAAAAAAAATTATAGTATGGACCCAATTCACTGTTTTCCCTTTACAGACCACGTGTCATTTTCTTGGGAATAAGAGTCCTTGTTTGAGTYGTATCCGTATTCATGTGTCTTTTAATGTGCAACTGTTAAACAATGAAATGATACTCTTGGGATTGTCATGCGCGTACGTCATTCAAAATGGGATAGCAGTGAATTAGGTCTATTATGGTGAACCGGTATTTTAATTATTAAACTTTAAACTATTAATATCTATTATAGAGAAAAATAACCTTGGAATGTCTGCTGATAGTCATGTACTCTACCATCCCGAAAGCCTTCTTCCTCGCCATACACACTTCAACTTCTCAGTTGACGTCTTGGGAGGTGCCTTCCCTGTCTTGGAAGCAAGCACGCGTACAGAAGGTCTGGAGCTCCTTTGGGACAAACTTTTTGGACCAAGAGGTCACTTTCCTGATACACACATCTCTGATCTCGTCAAAACCCAACCGAAGAAGAGAAGCCTTGATGATTTGAACGAACTGCAATACTTGCATGACATGGTATGGAAAATATTTATACCATTATTCATTACAGGGCTTTGTTCTGAAGAAATATTCATGTTTGAACATTAAAAAAAGTGAATCTCTTTCGCAAACCTAATGAATTTTGATTTTTTTAGGTGAACATGCCAAGGACTAGTACGCCTTCAGGTCTCTTTTCCATTAAACTCTTTGGCAACGAACTGGCACTCTTCACACTCAAAGACCTCAAGTGGCTTCAACACGAAGTACCCATGTTAGACTGGGTAGAAATGTTGATAAATTTAAGAAATGGAGTGGATGATATGTATACCAAGCATTGGTTATTCCTGCAAGACTCATTTACCATTCCAACGTCTATTGGGTTACCGCTGACCTTAAGTCTCAATGGCACTGCTGTAGGAAGTGTTCACGTGAGCGCTAAAGGTGATCTGCACAGCTGGTTCTGGGATTGGAGGCCTAGCATTAAATTTAAAGGGAGTGTCAAACCAAGGTTAGTGAAAATATGAGGCAAATCTACAATTTTATATGGAGCTTACATTCATAATGCTTATTAGTTTGAATTCAGCAATTTCGAATTGGACCTCTTATCTGTGATTTAGAGAGAAATAAAATTCAACCCTCTCACCCCAGCTTCTGCTCCCGCCTTTGAATAATGTGAATGAGTTTTGCCTCTCTTAGGCGTAATGTGTTGAAATATATACCATTCTATTCTATTCTAACAGAATTCATGGATGCATTGGCAGTAATTTCCTTTTCCTAGTATTTATATGGCTCTCAATAAATGTAAAAATACTTTTGCAAAAGYCACCACTTGAAGCCATTACTTTGCTTTTATTTGTGTTTCAGTGCTGCTGTGAGCATGTCTGGGATGATGTCAGTCAACGCCTTTCACAGCAAGGTCGGAATACTGGTCAACGGTACACTGTTCACCTCGGCAAAAATAAGTGCAAATGTGACCTACAAGAAAGAAGAAACGTTTAAATTCCACTACAATGTCGATGAAAAGCCGGAAGAGATATTTAACATGTCGTAAGCCCTTTGCTTTTATTGATTGTGCTTTATTCTCTAGCGCAAACATTTAAACGTTAGTCGTTGGTTGCCTTAAATCCGAAAGCTTATTTTACTATTGGAGCCTACTTATTTAACCACTAAACAATGGGGGCAAGGGGGCTTTCAAATGGGGAACAGACCTTGAGTATTTAGTTGTTTTTGAACGGAGGATACGACAATGTGGATGTAACTCGGTGATCGATTGCCAATGATAGTAAGTCAATCAATAAGGATTTGGCAAAAAGGATTTCCTTGTAAGTGGTTTTTACTTGCCCTACGCTTTAAATATAACTCATTTTTAACTGAGACGCGTTCGCTTCTTCTCAACTAGGTCTATGTTATTCAAACAAGTCAACGACAAAAAAACACCAATTAGTGGAATAAAACAGCGTAGAAAGGTAAAGCAGCTGTTTAAAAAATATCTTAAATAAATTCAGTTGCTTTCAACAACTCATTTGACTTCAAACAAATTTTTCAGGCAAGTGTTTGTATCAGCTCCATTTTTAACGTGAACAAATACGTTGGGATGGATCTATGCAGCAACATATCAGTTCCAATCAGCTGGGACAAGACGATGGCACCTTTCCTCCCCCTAACAGGCCCAGCCAACTTTTCTATCAAACTTCATCGCTCAGACCCTAAACTAACAACTTACAAGCTGGAAGTCAACAAAACGAAATTCAGCAAGTCTCCAAATAAGACTTGCTTGGAGTTGTCAACACCGGGATCCTCTCACAAAAGAATTCTTTTGATGAACCTCACAACGCTAGACCAGCCAGATCGGTTCCAATTGAATATCAGTGTTGGGGATCATGAAGCAAACTGGACAGTATTGAACTTCACACGAAATAGTAACTCCAAGATGCTCATGGCTGAGATGAACATTACTTTGCCCAATATTTCCCTGTACCACACTGCGAAGGTTCACGAACCAAGCAAGATTATTAGCACAAAAACATCATTAATCCGCGGTCCTTATGGTAATCCTGTCACTGTAATGTTCCTTAATGCCAATCTTGACTACTCGTCTAGATCCACAGGAAGTATGATCTTCAATTTGATGCATCGACCTCTCGACTTTACTTGGCAAGTAAAAGTCAGGCATAGCTCTTCAGAGCTCAAAACCAACATCCTTTGTGTCATGAAGTGCAGAAAAAGACCGAGCCCCTTACTCAATCACAGAATGGAATTCAATATCACGCAGATAGACCATGTACGGATGACTTCAGAAAACATTACAGAGAAAGGGCTTCGCGTTGAGATGCGCATGAATGAAACAAGGAGAATGTCTCTCTTTGGCAGCAAGAAAGTGGTCAAGACCATCGGTCACAAGTTTAGCACCTACTTCACTACTTTTACCTTCTACAATCGCACAACACTGAAGCCTTACACAACTTCACTCAATTTGACGTTACACGAGAATCTTGTCACGAAATGGAACGAGATGGCACTCAACATGACATACAAGAACAACTCAATCGCTCTAGAGACATCGATGAAAAACACAACCGAAAAGAAAAGCATTTGCCTGATCGGGAGATACCTTAATGGAACTTCCTGGAACAAAACTGATTTTATATCTTGCATCGCCTTCCTTAATGGCACCGAGGTCAAGAATCTGATCTGGAACTTAAAATCCATGAATACGACTCACAAACTCAACGCAACTTGGCTTAGACGACCTGATGTACACATGTTTGTAAATTACGCATGCAAGAATGAGTCCTTAGCCAAATTAACCGTTTCCTACAGAAAGACCAACTCAATGAAGTTCCTYGGCGTGAATGGTAACATGGGAAACTGGAATATGGACCTTCAGCACTCTTTTCAAGACGAAGTGAAGATGAAGACGAAGTTAAGACGAATTCTTATTGTTCATAAAGCCAAGAACGGAACAGAATCTTATATGTATAACGCGTTTAACTTGACTTTTTTGAACTCCACCACGATGAAGAATATGTTAGTGGGACTGACTCTCTCGACAAGAACCAAAGACATGCTAGAAAAAGAATCAAAACTACCTAGACAGTTTGTGAATAGAACAGCCTCATGGAAAGCTGAAATGAAAAATGACACAGAAATCCTTAATGTTTCATCTTTATTTGACTACCAAGTTATGGACCAAACTGAGATGCCAAACAAACTAATATTGAAGAAACAAATGCACCACACTCTGTTCTGGCATAAAACTAACAGCCTCCTAAATGTGAGCGTAGACTTTCCCAACACAACTCTTGGCTTGAATTGTTCTGGAAATTTCATCAAGGGAATCAATATGAGTGCAAATCTAAACGACAGCCTCCTGTGGAACGCTTATATTACTGAGCGGAAGCTGATTTCCAACGTAACCCTTTGGAATCGTACTCTTATGATGGAAAGCCGTACTTGTAACAGAAGTCAGTCATTGTTCTTAAACATCAGTACCTGGAATATGGTCAACAGGACTGCCTTTAATGGTTCGATCACGTGGTACTTAAACGCAACTACGAAGAAGACAGCTATTAATGTTATGTTAGTCAATGTCAATGCTATGCTTCTCAATACCACGTTTGTAAATACGTCCTTGCAATTTAGTGCCTTCGCCCTTAATGATAGCCACCTTAACATCTCTTTTGTTAGACGCAACATGTCTGATCTTTACAAAGAGAGCAGCTTAGAGTTCCGTCCTGGAGGAAGGGTGTACATGGAATTCAACGCAACGTCTTTAAAGAGAATATGGAGGGAACTAAACTTGGAGACTTTTGACATGCCGAGAAAACTTCTCAACATCACTGTGAATTTTACTTCAAGGGGAGTAAACATGAAGAAAACTGGAAAGCACCTCAAGATACTAATGCAAAAACTTACTCGAGAAATTTCAGCTTGGAAGTTCACGCAACAGAACCTCGGTGACAATTTAAGCAATTTGACGAAAAAACTTCTGAAAGTCACATCTCACTCGTTGCCTGATGTTACCTCTGATTATGACATCTATCTCAAGAAAAATAGATCCGAAATTATGAAGTTCTGGAAACACCTAACTAGGACCATTGTTGCTATTCCCAGACATGAAATCAAGAGCAAGGAAATGGCAAAAGAATTGATTCAAAGCTTGAAGTATATCAGTGAAAGTTTCAACAAGACGAGTGTCATCGGGAACTTGTCCGAAGTTTTGAGCAATATTGTTCTGTACAATTCCTCTGGTAAACCAAGTCATCTCAAAAATCTGACGGATAACATCACATTTTACTTGAGAAACTTGACCAATGACATCACATATTACCTAAGGAATGCATCAAAGGATATGGGTTCGTGGAAAATCCATTCTAAGATGGTCGATAGTCACATCAAAGAAATCCTTCCGAAGGTAAAAGATAAAATGCTGTATATCTTGAATGAAACTGAGATGGTAATAACAGAAATCCATGAACATCTACGTATCTTGCGCGACGATGTTGCTTTCCTCAGTGACCACTTTGTCAATGAAACGTACCCTGAAGTCTACAACAAGAGCAATGCCTTCTACAACAACCTCAAAATGATGGCAAGTCCTACGACCTTTGCTGGGGGAATAATGCATCCTTGTTGGATGAACATCTCTGAAATACTCAACACAAGTATCTTCAACATAACTATCCATCACTTCCATAAATACTTGATTTATGGAACGGCACTTGAGACAATATTACCTTTCCTAAGCCAGCCAGATCATATAACCGAAGTATTCCACGAGTCAGTATTGGATAGGTCACTCGAGAAGATGCTCAATAACTCCCTCAACAAGGCAATGGAGATGTACAATGCTACGCTACGACTTCCATCTTGGCACGTGAACAAAACACACGATAACATTGTTTACGCGAGGGATCTCGTTGTGATGCTCTACAACGACACTGACAATGTCATGACCAGCATCTCAAAAAAAAATCTGACAGAAATAGTCGAACTTTACATCAACCAAACTCGAAACATGACTGTCAAAACCTGGAATTTGACCATGTCTATGATGGAAAGCATTCTTAACGTAAGCATTCCGGTACATGGGAGATTTGATATGCTGAAGAAGAATGTGACGGAACTTTACTGGAATACCAGTGAAAAGTAAGCTAAATGATGTAACTTAAATAGACCTGTTTGCCTCGAGCTAAATGGTTTTCCATTTCAGACCAGGTGTCATTCCCTTGAGTATCATTTCTTTTAACGGTTGCACATGAGAAGACACATGAACATGGACACACCTCTAACAAAGAATTGTGTTCTCGAGAGAATGACGTGCTTTGAAATGAGAAAAGATTACGCTCAGAGTGAAGATGACACAAATTGTACATTGTTATTGCCGAAACGAGAAATAGCTTTCTTTCAATTAAGTTGCTATGCCATTTTTTTCATTTCGTTTTAGGATGCCGTGGGCACGACCACTAATCAGATTGTGGAACACAACTATGTTCAGTCTTGCCAAAAACAACACACCAGAGAGACTAATCGAATCTTGGATGCCTAAAATCGTAAACTTCACCCTTAACAAAGCTTCACATTTCGCCAAATACGTCAACGAATGCCTCACAGACGAGCAAACCCAAACACCACGTATCCAGATGGCATACTCAAAGAAAGTTCTCAAAGTCTCGACAATTCACAAAATGGAATCGAGACCAAATTTCACAAAGTACTTCTTAAAAGTTTCTCGGCATTACCTAAGCTTCAGCACTTGGATCTTCAATATGATCAAGGAGCCAAAGAGAGTAATGGCGAACTCTTCGAACATCACCATGCAATGGGCTAATGTTCTCTTTAATGGTACCTCAAAGGTCTTCGATGAGGCAGAGAGCGTTGTGAACTGCTCCCTGGTTATCAACAAAACCAATAACTTAACGAATCAGTACGTTAAAACCAGCCCTATGATGATGGAAGTGCATACCTGGGTGCGCAATAAGACATTGGAAAAGATGTTCAACAAAACCAACATTCCTTACAGTACCTTACTTCACAGTACCTTACCTTACTTTATGTGGAACACGATAGACAAAATGCGCAAGATGGAGGCGCAGGATCTGGCTATCTTATTCACACCTAAAAGTAAGTCTAAATAAAAAAACTAAATGTCAAGATAAAAACGGACTGATCATAAATCTCGGACGGGTAAGCATACAGGCATGATATTCCAGATATCCAATGAGATGCTGAGCCACTTGCACTAAGGTCAAAGATAGGTCTTTATGAGCTGAACCTAATATTATACATTACTTTCAGTACGGTTCATGTGAAGTGCGGTTCATAGCTTTGACCTGAGGTTAAGAATCAGAGACTTCGATCATACGAACACAAGTGTTTTTCAGGAGACTTTACGAGGGATTCGCCGGTGCTCTCTAGATATTTCATAGGTTTCTTTTTTTTTAGATTATTACCCTAGAGAAATGCAATATGCTTCTATTGTCTCAATGCAATCGCTTCTCTTGCCTTTCAGATGAAACTGCCTTTGTCATCAACCAACGCAACTTTATCACCTTCGACAAGCGCTCGTTCCGAGTTCCTGAAATCCCCAAACCAGGATGCTCATTCTTATTAGCAAGGGACTTCCTCGATGGCGAATTTACCGTCCTCGCGACACAGAACTCGTACATCATCATGACACCAGAATTGAATATAGAAATCTACAAGGATGGGACTATTAAAGCAAATACTGCTGGGCAGCCTCAAATAGTGAAGACGGACTTGCCGGTAGGGTTTGATAGTGTATATGCAGTCAGAGATGGTCCATATATACGAGTCATAAGCGATAGAAGAGGATTCGAGTTTGAGTTGGAGATGGAGCATTTCATTTTTGGCGCCTACATTTCGGGATTCTATCACAACCGTACCCTTGGTAAGTTACAACAAAGTCCAGAGTTCCTGCAATGACTTTTAGCTTAGTTTAATTTGGGATTCATTGTTAACCCATTCACATCATGATCAGTAGTTCCTTCAGTTAATGGGCTGCACTTCTATGAAGCCAACGACAATATGCCCACTTTACTCCTTTCCCTCTATTAACGCTTCGCTTTAAGTATAATTAGTGTATGAACTTAATAAACTGTAAAGCATCAAACAACATATATCAGTCTAGGCTGTTGCTTTTTATGGATACCACTCTTCTAAGCAGGAAGCGGCACTAATCAACTTAGCCACACTTTTAATAGTAAACTTGCACCTAATCTTGGTCTCCATCAGGTCTTCTGGGAACAAACAATGGCGAGATTAGTGATGAGTGGCGTTCTCCTCTTGGCAAAAACAGAACAGTATTAGAATTCGAAAAGTTCTTGAACTCCTGGTTGGTTAGCAAAGACTCCGAATGCTACATAAGAAGACCTGTCCAACGACAGCAATGCCAACCAAAAGAATCCTCGCGTTGTGAAGAGCTCCTTAAATCCAAAATGTCTCCTTTCCAAAAATGTTTCGATGTCATTGACCCGAAACCTTTCTTCGAAGCTTGCATCAAAGACGTCACGTCAAGTTGTGAAACTTCAGAGCCGGAACGAATGTCTCATTGCAATGTGTCAGCGGCATACGTCAGAGCATGCGTAAAGAATGGTGTGGATATCTCTGTGCCAATCCAGTGTGGTAAGTAAAACAAGACCTGACGCAAAGTTCAAAACAAGACTTGATTGATTACGGCTTTACTTGCGAGCTCGAAAATTAAATGGGATACTTATGAAGCTTACGAACTCGACGTAAAGAAATATAGAGCTTGAAATTTTTTTAGTTGTTTGATGAAATTTCCTTTTCCTTGCTACGAGTCTTTTTCAAAACGCAAAGTCAGTATTCGAGTCGAGCGTTGTCTATTATACATGTTGGTGCGTATGAAAAGAACCTCATAAAAGAGACCCCTTACAGGGAAAGGTTGATGGTTTTTAAAAAACGAATGAGCTAATTCCTTCGTTAATGTTTACAACGACAATGTCGGCGATGATAGACCGCGCTACCCATGAAGTTTTTGCAATAAACCACTTTACTTCTCTTATAGCTGATTGCAATGAACAGACCAGATTCATGGTATCAACAAGAGAAGTGGACATAATGGTTATCAGTAGCGAGGGAAGAAACATGAAGCAGGTCACACGTAACATTCCCAAACTCATTTCAAGAATAAACATGAACTTGCTTAACAACAACATTCGCCCGCAATTTGGATTGGTTGGATTCAGCGGAAGACAACCGCTTCATTGGAAAGGACACACCCATACATTGAATGGCAAGTTCCTTGGTTCCAACATAGAGCTCATTCAGGCAAGCAAAACACTAGACTTCGCCTCTTATGATATGAATATCAGCGATGGTTATATGGGAATTTACCATGCCACGAAGTATCCTTTCCGCCCTGGTGCCAAGAAGATCTTCCTTTTGGTGACAGACAGCAGACGCGTGAAAGACAGTGATCTGACAAGTGATTTTGTCAGCAAGGCTATGAAGAGCATCGATGCAAAACTGATCGTCATTGGTGATTACTAGTAAGTATTAATGTTCGTCTTATCATCAGTTGAGATCGCCAATCATTCCTAAAAGAGAAATACATAGTCATTAGTAACAAATTACTACTCTGACGACACGTCGGTCATCTTATAGAGCTAATGTGAGTTTATGTTATACGTTTCTTTATATCACGCCCTCCTATTACAGCCAAAGACGGCACTTGGTTTAACCTTACCCACATATAATATTATCCGCCTATTTTATTGTATTGCCCCCTGACTTTATATTGCTTTATAATTCAAGATGGCCGCTTTATCGTCGAAGTAGGCCATTGACCAATGCTCTCGCAGTAGTTGGCTTGGGCATAATTGAAGACCACTGAGAATTGATTCCTTGACAACTAATAAGATTCTTGTGTAAATATATCAGGCGTTCAATTGTAATTATTATTAGCAGAGACTTTATAGTATCTGGTCGAGACTCGAGATAAGCAACCATTGAAATGAAGCACGCATAAAATCCTTTTTAAAAAAATCTTTAATCGGGAAAAAGTGATGCTTTTCGAAGGCCCTGTCTCTAAAGAAATTTTTAAGCAATTGAGTTCTGACATGTTTTTGTTTTTTATTTTTTTAAATAGCTTCAAATACGGAATGTACGGAGGAGACACTGATCGTTACCGCTACTACAGAAAGGACCCTGAAGGAAGCATTCGCAAAAACAGACAACGGCTTCCAGAAGAAGACGAGTATGTTAAAGTTGTCTCCAAAACCGAAGGAGCAGTCTTCATGGTCAAGAGATTCGAGAAAGACAAGACTAACAAATATTTCTCGGAAATGATAAAGAATGTGATGCTAAAATATTCCAAAGGAAAGAGATGTATGCAGTGTCGCTGCGTTCCCGATGAGGTTGGCAAGGGACGAGAAGTCTGTAAGGAAACATCGAATTTTTGGTGCAACTGGAACTGAAAGGTATAGAAATGAGAAAACGAATTGCACTTTACTGCGGTCTTCGATATTCTGCTAACTCTGTAGTCACAAGCTGCACACTGAAATTTGATTTATCGCTTCCGCCAATCAAAAATAATCAGTCGGTATCTTTTGTTTTTGACTCGTGGCTTTGAAAAACCCATTTCACAAGCCGTTGGAAAGTCTGAGTTCGCAGGATATGGAAAACTGTAGTAATTTAGCAAAGCGAAGCTGAACGCCATCTTTCACTGGAAAAATGCTGTCACCCCTTTTCACACTAAGAAAACCTATCAGTTTTGTTGGAAAAAAAGGTTATTAACATGTTAGGGCAATATCGAAAGAAGAACACTTCGATGTAGGCTGAATTATTTGTCATTGTATGAATTGGCCTATTAGCTTTGCTTATGGCAAACAATCAAATTTATTGTAGGAAATAATGAGTATACACGAGAGTATTATGAAGTATTACACAGTATACTTACGCTTTCCTCCCCTTTCTTTTCTTCTTACAGGACATATGGCCAACTTCATGACGTAAGGATCATCCCACGAAAAAAACTTAGCATCTTTCTAGCTTCATAGAAGAGAGCATAGCTTTATAGAAAAGTGAATAGTACATAGAATAGTGCAGTATTACAAAGTTTTTTACTACCAATCAAAAGTAAATGTAATCCTGTATTCTTGTATTTTTGGTAGAAATTCAACAAAAAAATTGTGAAGGGATAATGTAGCACCTACAAGTCCATTTGAATCATTTCCTCATCTTTTCTTTCTTTTTACTTTTCTTTGTTTTTCTTACTTCTTTTCTTTTACTTTAATTCGAATAAATCACCAAAGTTAGTAACGGCATTCCTCATTGTCCAAAGCGTTATGATATAAGTGTGGATTAAGACTATAATCGAAAATTCATTTGTTTATTGCTTTGCGATACAAAAAAAGCTCATTTATTACATATCAGTGTTGATTATATCAAGCCGTTACGGTAAATATTCCTTCAATGCAAGCTCTAATGCAACCATGTATTCACTAGATACTCGTATAATAAAGCATTTCAAACTTTTGAACGTGTTTTCGTCTGAAGTGTATATTCTTAATCGCTATTATTCCTATTCTTTCCCTGCAGCGCCCATATAAGGAACGTAGATTTTGAAAAACTTACCAGCTTCTTAGAAACTACAACATATTATAAACTACAACCTGTGATAAACTTCTACTGTAATTACAGCAATTCTCCATATTCTGTGAACTCAGATATTTCAACCGCTTGATGTGAAATTGGGTTTTCGTGGCCGTTAATCAAAACTATCGAGTCAGACGTATTATATTTTGGCTGGTGGCGGTAAAAACCACATTTCAACCGGCAACTCGCAACTACTGAGTTCGCCTAATATTGAGAATCGAAGTAATCTAAAAATATTCTCAAGCAACTGTTTGGACAGCATGTTTTTTCAAGCTTCTTGTGGGGCTTCTTGACCTCAACTACAGTTATAACGACTATTAGAAATACGTGCATACACTCTCCGATATAAAAGATATCCATCCAATGTGTTGACCAAATGTCCTAATGGGATATTTGCAATATGCATGTCAGTTCAATAATGACAGATATCCACTTTCGCTCATTCAATGTTTTAACCAATAGGATATTTGCAATATGCATGTCAGGTCCATGTTGACAGATATCCACTTTCGCTCATCCAATGTTTTAACCAATAGGAT